TTTTCTATGTTTAAACATTTTTTTCCTCGACGCGTTTCAAAAACATCACAAATTTCGATATCCATAGTCAATATAGTCAGTTGTTATAGTACAGCTTTCTGGCGAACGACTGTTTAAAAGTATTATGCTTTCCTAATACACGACGATTATTTTAAATCGATATATATTGATTATTGATATGCTGGTAATTTGTAGGTACTGATAATTTTTACCGATAATTCAATTACTTTAGGTAAGTCCAAATTTAAAAATATAAAATATATGTTACTCAGTGTTTATGTTGTGCGCAAACGAGTCGTCCGTTACAGGTAAACGACTGATTTCGTTGTGCGCAAACGAGTCATCGATATCTAGGTAAAAAATGTAGATTGTGCGCAAACGAGTTGCACCGCCCTCCACATCACAAGAATATTCAATTAATGATCTTCTTAACGATAACCAATATCAATAAATATTCAATGGTGTATAATACTTTTATAACTATTATTATAAATAAATTAATAATAACTTAATAATACTATATAATATATAATAATTCTATAATAGTGAAAAATAATATATAACCAATAACACTTACCTTGATGCATCCATTCAAAACGTAAATCAAAGCTTCGCAGGTCTCAACAATTATTTTTCCAAGAGTTTGAGCTGCGATGGCAGTTTGGAATTTCAGCTCTTCAAAGGAGTCACCGCTTACAAGGTATCTCAGAGTGGACAATAGTCTTTGTTCTGCCGTAATTGGTTCCCTCATAGATGTACATTGTTTTTCAATTAAAGGTCTTATCTTTTCTAACAGCTCACTAAACGTATCTGCATCCATTCGTAGATAGTTTCTATAATCAACAGCTGAACTTATTTTAAGCTCTGCTACTAATCGATCATGGCTGAATTGATCCCTCTTCTTCAGCCATTCCTTCATCCACACCCTCTGCTTTCTTTTTGGCTTTACTTTTTTCTTTTCCGTCAAACAAGCAATCACTATCGCAGCACAAGTATCATCGGAGTCAGACATATTCACAAATGCTTGTAGAATGTACTTTTTACTATACTATACTAGAATGTACTTTGACAAGATCAAAAATTGAACTGAAGTTGGCACAAGCTATTGGAACGTGTATGTCCAAAGTTTGTGCAACCATCGTATTTGTACAAACACAGAGGTTGCTCAAATTTGTTTGACGTGTATGGGGGCCTTTACCAACAACTCTATATTCACAACAGCTTGATAACTTGTAGATTGTGATGGCAACTTGTTTATCAACACGAAAAGCCTCTCTTATAATACTAACGGCATGTGATTCCAACTCATGCCGATAAACGAGAATATTTTATTTACATCATTACATGTATTTATAATATTTAATATTATAACTTTAACTTAATATTATAACTTAGATACTTACTCAACTAAAAAATAGAATGTGGCTTTGGACATTCGGAAGCTCTCAACCCAATCTTTATCATCAAATTGTGTTTTCACAATATACTGCCACCAATGAACAGATCTTTCTTTAGCGTATATACATCGCATTCTTGGCATTTCTAAAGACGGTATTAATGTACATGTTTTTCTTAAACACTGCACAGTTTGTTGATAGTAAGAAACGTTAAGTTCGTTAGGGCCAACCTCAAATTTTGTTGACTCTGACTTCTTTTTTTTTTAATTATCCAACGAATTTTTTTATCCCTTTCCGATTGTTTTCTCCTATTTTCAATGTACTGTACTACGTATAACTTAATTAATTGATCAGGATCCATAATTGTTATTTTTAACAAAATACGATATATCAAACACAAACTTAAAAAAAGTATTATTTAACATAGATTGTTATTTAATAAATACCATAACTTAATAGATCACAACAAACTGAATTTTCTTCAGTCTGCGCACAGAAGGGTGGGAGTCTTCCACGTCTCTTGATTGTCTTATACTTTATGGCGCTTTTTTTGTATTTTTTATTGTAATTGCATTGTTCTATAAGCTATAATAAATTAATAAATGATTATTTTATATATGATAAATTTTATGTTCGTGGATATAACTCAATATGTAAATTTTAAGTACGTTCATAATAATATTATATAATATATTATATTAATTGATAACTGTCAACCACTATCAGTAGGGAAGTAGCCAATGAAAAGAGGCAGAAGTCTCCCACCATTTTCTATGGTGGAGTGAGGAACCAGGGATGAGTATCAAAAATCTGTGATCATACTTATTTATTTTGTCATAATAAATACAACAGAACATTAAAATACATTCTAATGAAGTTAAACTTTTTATAACGGAATTGTGTCTTGCTCGTGTACTCATGTGTGCTATAGAGAAAGCGCTACCCGGCGGCGACCAAAACTCATATATCAGCTGATAAATGATATATTATTTGAATATTATAGTCAAGTGCAGTCAGATATTTATTTATTACATATTAAGTTGCAAATACCAAAAAAAATTACAATTGTGTCACTTTTGTTGGATACATGAACTTTCAATGCCAGTATTCTGTCTGCTACTGACCCGATTATTACCAAGCTGCCAAAATACCGCCTAATGAGCTATCTATAGCAGACGTTCCCAACCTTTTTTCACTCACGGCACCCTTAATCATTTTCTAAAAATCCGGAGGTACCCTATAGTATAGAGTTAGCTTTAGTAGTGTATAGGGCCTATAGACTACTTCGGTTTTATTCAGCAGTGCATAAGTATAAACAAAAGTAGAAAGACGTAGGTATATAGTATATACAAATATTTTATTTTATAAAACAAATTATTAAATTGAACATTAACTATATATTTGTATTTTTAATTATTTTTTCATAATATTATTTGATTATCAATGTTTATTAAAAATTAGGGAACTTATTGAACTAATGTGACACTTGGGCTTGTTTTTTTTTACACAAATATTTTATTTGTTGTCGAATAGTTGAAAGACATACTCATTTCTTCTTCAATGAACTCTATTTTCATTCGTTTATTTGTTTTTATGTTAACAAATGTGGTAAATCCTTGTTCACATAAATATGACGTCGAAAACTGCAGTAATATTTTTAGAGCTATTTTACCAATTTTATTTTGACTTTTCAACATGAATCCAAAATTCACTTAATGGAACATTTTTATATTTTGATAAAAGAGTTCGATTGTTTCGTATTTCAGCGAGCTCTTCTTCTTCGAGGCTGAATTCAGTTAAACTTATATTTTTATCAAATGGGTCATTTATTCAATCGAACTCGGAAATATCTAAATCGGGAAAATACTTGTCAAAACTTTCTTCTAAGGCAGTTAACCCCTTCATGCATAACTTTTTATTTATCACTGAAAAAAATGAGGTTATAGTAAAAGACGTCAGGATCACGAGAAAAATAGTTAAAAAAATATTTGAGTCAAACTTTCCCTTAAAGTTGATCAAAGTTTAATTTGTGCCATTTCTGGCCAACATGCATTAAAGTATACAATTTTTAATTGTGCCATTTCTGGCCACCATGCACTCAATATAATAAATGCTCTATGTGTGGTATTTGTTTCCTGTAAACCATGGTATCTAATTGTACTTTTTATTTAGAAAAAACTGGATTTGTACATTTTAAAATATATTTTTACCTTTTTAATACAAATTTAACACAAGTTGATTACAAATTAATTAATTTAAGCACAAAAGTTAACAATATTAATTAAAATAGAAAAAAATAATAATTATTATAATAATAAGAACTAAATAAAACAGTCTTTTATTTTTTTTTCATCACAAATTATAATAATATGTAAGCATACAAATGATTAATAAATTAAAATATAACAAATTAATAATAAAAACTAAATAAATCTTTTTTTTTTCTTCACAAATTAAATTCTTAGAAGTTATAAAGTTTGTCATCAGCCAAATAGATGTAAAATGTATAATATTATGTATGTATCAGTTATCACCGTGTATGAAATAATAAAAAGCAATTTCTGTGTTGATTTATACATAGTGGTATAATACATTTAGAACAAGATATCATTTTCTTATAATTGCATGATGGGTAATTACAACGAACACGGGTTTTTTCATATATTGGAAAGTGGTCCATTCCATCAAGTCGTATCTCTTCTGATGGTAGCTCCATACAAGGTCCATTTTTCTTTTTTTTAGCATTGTATAAAGCTTCTGTTGTACTTTTTGTCAGCAACCTAACCTGGACGACCTATTCTTTTTGGGATTTGGTTATAAAACCTCAAATAAAACTTCTAACATCAATAGTTTGAAATCTAATAATGGTATATAGGTATCTAGGTATACTCTACGGTACAAATGCCAGGCATCTACTACACATAAATCTATCATGTGATAAACAATTTTCATATAGTATTTTTTAGATTTTGTAGATATTCTGTAATAACCTAAAATTGAATCGAGTAAATCCACTCCACCCATATTCGAATTATAAACATTAACTGACTTTGGACATGGTATCATTTTGTATGTTTTTATTGACCTGAAGAACAGTTTTCTCTACAATAGGTTGGCTTCCAACGTAGGTTGATACCAATGTGACAATTTGGTTGTCAAGCCATGAAACTGCAGTTATTTTAACATCGACAATTGTTGTAGTTTTTTCACACATAGCTCCTCTTCTTTCTTTTTGAAATTCTTTTTTAGTTGGCATTGTAAGTCCTTTTTAACGGTTTAAACGAGCTGTTCCTAAAGGAAGTATACCTTCCTTGTGTAAATATATCATAAGTGGCAGGCTTGTAAACCAATTATCAAAGAATAATTTGTAATTTTTATGACGTGGAATAATTTGAGCCATTTTTACAACCATATTGCTGCTAGTAGAGAGGGAAGGGCAGTTGTCAGGCATTTTATTTGTTTGTTCTCCTGCAAATATTTCGAAGTCGTAGCTAAAACCCGAAACACCCCTTAAAACAAATACTTTATAACCCCATTTATGAGGTTTTTTAGGGTTATATAGTTTTAATGACGTTTTAGATTTTGTTGGAATGATCTGCTCATCCACTGCCAAATATTTTTCTTTTGGAAATGTTACTAAAATATTTGTAATTTGTTCAAGTAGGGGTCTTACTTTAAAAAGTTTGTCATAAGAGTCTGATGTAATTGTGGTGTTATCATTGAAATGTATAAATCTTTTAATTTCTTCGAATCGGTTGACTGTCATTATATTGTATATACTTGAAGTACCAAGAGACCCCCAATGATGTCTTATTGAAGGCAAATTTAAAATTGACATTTTCATCAATATACCAATGAATTGCTCAATTTCTTTTTCTGTTATATTTGGTAATTTAATAGGTTTGACTTGAGTGGCATATAAATTTGATTACATTGTAATGTGACTTATAATAGATTTCGGAAATAGAAAATTAAAAAATTGAGAAGGTGAAACTAAATCAGTTATAAATTTTGGTAAATTTAATGAATCTTTGAAGTGTACATCTTCTGTTACTTCTAAGTTTTCTTCAACCCATTTGCATTTTAATGATTTATTGACATTTTTAAGCACATTAAATTTTTTTGTTTTTATTCTTAAATTGCTAAGACTTAATAAATCTTATGGCTAGAGGCATATCATCTTCAAACTCAGATACAAATTCGTCATCTGAATCAGGAATAATAAGTACATCAGTACTTTTAGTTGAACAATAACTATCGCTATCAGATTCTACAGGCAATTGTGACAATGTTTTAGGTTCAACATTGTCAGAATGTTCTGAATCAGAACTTCCTTCTGGGATGCTTCTGATATCTCTTAGTTGGTGGTAAAATGTAGAAGGTTTCATTGTTAGAGCTAAAAAAAAAAAATCAGTTACTATGTTTTGAATGCATGTTGTGCCAATTATGGCACATACCGAGTTTTTGTTATATTTCAAAAAGTATTTTACTTAGAAACTAGTACATACTTTTAAAATAAAACAAACAAACTGACGAACCAAATGGTATTTATTTTTTTTTAATTCGGTAGTATCAATATTTTGTTACGATAACATAAAATAAGTGATAACGACTCTTGGTGACAAACATATTTGGAGCGAA